TCTTGTATAAATTGGGACAAATCAGTGTTTTTGTGTAAATGTGCAGGGACAGAGACACAGACTCAGGACGGGGACTGTCCCGGGGAAACTGGACACTGCCGTAAGATTAAACCAGAGACTTTCACAAAACTTTCTTTTAGGTTTCAGATTCTTTGATGAATCAGCCAGTCGTATTTGCATGTGGAGAGTTTGTTGTTTCAGGGTCGGTGGCGTTTAGAGAAAAGTCTTTGTTTTCACTGTCGACACTTCAGAGACGCTGCCTTGAGTTTTGTTGAGTTTTGTTGTGTTTTGTTGTGTTTTGTTTTGTTGTGTTTTGTTGAGTTTTGTTGTGTTTTGTTGAGTTTTGTTGAGTTTTGTTGTGTTTTGTTGAGTTTTGTTGTGTTTTGTTGTGTTTTGTTGTGTTTTGTTGTGTTTTGTTGAGTTTTGTTGTGTTTTGTTGTGTTTTGTTGAGTTTTGTTGTGTTTTGTTGTGTTTTGTTGAGTTTGTTGTGTTTTTGTTGAGTTTTGTTGAGTTTTTTGTTTTTGAGTTTTGTTGTGTTTGTTGTGTTTTGTTGTGTTTTTGTTGTTTTGTTGAGTTTTGTTGTGTTTTGTTGTGTTTTGTTGAGTTTTTGTGTGTGTTTTGTTGTGTTTGTGTTTTGTTGTGTTTTGTTGAGTTTTGTTGAGTTTTGTTGTGTTTTGTTGTGTTTTGTTGTGTTTTGTTGAGTTTTGTTGAGTTTTGTTGTGTTTTGTTGTGTTTTGTTGTGTTTTGTTGAGTTTTGTTGAGTTTTGTTGTGTTTTGTTGTGTTTGTTGAGTTTGTTTGTGTTTTGTTGTGTTTTGTTGAGTTTTGTTGTGTTTTGTTGAGTTTTGTTGAGTTTTGTTTGTGTTTTGTTGAGTTTTGTTGAGTTTTGTTGAGTTTTGTTGTTTTGTGTTTTGTTGAGTTTTGTTGTGTTTTGTTGAGTTTTGTGTGTTGTCACTGCAGCAGTAGTTCTGTTAGTGGCCTGCAGGGGGCGCACTCTGGCCTCTGTGAGTGTGGACAGGAGCAGGGGCCCGTGGCACAGGAGGGGCCCCCACACAGACGGTGAGTAAGAGCCCGACCCATGTGGCCCCTGATAATCTGACAATAACCTCACGTCCTCTGGCCCCGAATGTAACGCCGAGTCTAACCGAGGGACGGGCTCTGAGTTCAGAAAAACATTTTTAAAAGTTTCATTTTTTAAATTAATTTTCTGAAATCAGTGTGTTATTTTAAGTTTTATTTTTATTGTATTTTATTTATTATTATTTTTATTTATTTATTTATTTTTGTATTATTATAGTTTTTTTGGTTTTGGTTTTTCATTTATTAAGCTGCACCGTGTAACTTTTCGGTTGGGAGGGGGCTTGTCACCTGCTTGTTTCTATGGAGACGTCACTGCTCTGTCTGGAATGTTCCGCAGTGTGACTTTAAACAGCTCCACTTCACATTTAGTCAGTCACAGGAGTTTTTATGTCTCAAAAAGAATCCGACTTTGTGACTGTGAGCGGCGTCGCCTCTCCACAGATCTGACCTGGAACTGCGTCTGGTTTGTTTTCCTTGTAAATTGAAAGGTTTAAAGCCGCACCGTGGAACATTCCAGACAAAGTGTTTGACGGAGAATCCATCACAAAAGTTACACGGTGCAGAGTATAACGAGTAAATGAAGTTTCAGTGTAAAAATCAGATTTGAGTCACAGAACGTTTGATGAAAAGTGTTTGTAAAATAACTCACAGGACGAAGGTTTGATTTAAATTCACTCAGTTAATTCAGAATCTTCAGAAGTGAAATGGACCTGAGCTCAGAGCTTCTGCCCCAGAATCATCACCTGGACTCACCTGTTTAAATATTAACCCTGAGTAACAACAGTTTGGTCCCAACTTTACTTTTTATCAGAGTAATAAAACTAAACTCCAACTGGACTCGTGTGTGTGTGTGTGTGTGTGTCTGAAGAGACTCTCGACGTGACTCCTGACCTGACTCCTGACTCTCGACCTGACTCTTGACCTGACTCCTAACTCTCGATGTGACTCCCGACCTGACTCCTGACTCGACTCCTGACTCTCGACGTGACTCCAGACCTGACTCCTGACTCCCGACTTGACTCTCGACGTGACTCCCGACTTCCGACCTGACTCCAGACCTGACTCCTGACTCTCGACCTGACTCTTGACCTGACTCCCGACTCTCGACCTGACTCCAGACCTGACTCCTGACTCTCGACCTGACTCTTGACCTGACTCCTAACTCTCGATGTGACTCCCGACCTGACTCCTGACTCGACTCCTGACTCCCAACTTGACTCTCGACGTGACTCCCGACTTCCGACCTGACTCCCCACTCCCAACCTGACTACTGACTCCCGACCTGACTCCCGACTCCCAACCTGACTCCCGACTCTCGACATGACTCCCGACTCCCGACCTGACTACTGACTCCCGACCTGACTCCTGACTCCCGACCTGACTCCCGACTCTCGACCTGACTCCCGACTCCCAACCTGACTC